ATAGGTATAGATATAATATTTTTTTTTTATAAAATCAAACTAATCTATTTAAAAAAAAATACTTTATTTATATTTGTCAGCTATTCAATTCATTTAAACATGTGTGTATCACAAGGGTTGAATTTTTCAAAAGTTTAAATTAAATTAAACGACTCATTTTTATAAAAATGGAAAAAAAAAATAATTTAGATCAATCCGATTATTCATTATATATTTATATATAATTCAATTTTTTCATAAAATCAAACTCAACCAAATCCATTATTTTTTATATTAAAAACAAATCAATTTAGATGGATTCATTTTATTCGATTTGGTTTGAATTTTTGGTAGTCACTTTTCATTGTAATTTGGGTTAGTGAATGACTCACATCAAGACAACTATATATGTAATAGTAATTAGACATATAGATGCTACATGTAGCTGTGGATGCATTTGAAGGGGTGGACTATGCTATGAGTGCCTTGTGCCTACACATATATGCTTTCTTCGTATTGGCACCATCATCCACCTATTGTACTTTCTACATCATTTTGTTTTATTAATTATCGATTTGATATAAAAGGCAAATGTTGAATTTTCAATCTTGCACCGTGTTTGGTAGCTAAAAATGGTAAAAATAAAATAAAATTCAGCGTTAATAGTAAAAATAGAGATGATGATAAAAATTAGTGTTGTTTTAGTGTAAGTGAAATAGAGATGAGAGAATTTTGAAGTTAACAAGGCTCACGTAAAACATTTATAATGTCAATGAAATTATGTTCAACAAGGTACACACTTTCTCCAACTTTATAAAAATAACCTGTGATATTTTTCACTTTCTCTTTGTTACTTGTATCACCTTTCACATTTCGCTACATAATACTAGCGTGTTGTATGGTAAAATTAAATTTAAAATAACTAAAAATATAAAGTATGTTAAATAATATATATTTTTAGAATTAATGAAGAAGAAATTATCATGAGAAAAAACTTAACGAAGCACAAGATAAATTGATATTTGTAAATTTATCAAAAAAAATATACTTAATTTACACACTTGATGTATAAAATAATAAAAGAAAATGTTATACGTGAAGTGTGTAAATTAAGTAAATAAAATATATTTTTATTAAAAAAATATTTATCATATTTTAAAATACTTAATATTTTTCAAGTAATTAAAATTATTTAAAAGTATGTATTCAACACTCTTTATTAAAGAGTACGCATTAAATAATATTAATTATATTTTATCAGAATCTATACCTAAAAAAAAATCTTATAATTTTTCTAAATAATTATACACAATCTTTTAATATTCTACTTATATATAATTATTGGAGGTACAAAGTGTCTCAACCTCTCTAATATCTTATAAGCACATTTCTCATTTCATGTATTTAATTATTAATGATATTTAAAAGCATACATGCATAGTTAAAAAAATATTTTTCTAATATTTTTATCTCATTAATCTATTTATACTTATTATAATAAAGATGTATAATGAATAATTATTTTTTATCTCCACTTTTAGTGGACCAACATACTCTCATTTATTAAAAACAAATAAATAAATAATTATTTTTCTAAGTAATCACTCATTTAACTTATCTCTTTTATTTATTTATAATTTTTAAAACTTAGGCACATGTCTCTTTTTTCTACTAATTTTTATAATGTAATATTTATACATAATTTTCAATTTAAATAAATTAATTAAATATGATTTATGATTTTATTTCACAATTTGTGTCTTGCTTACACGTCTAGTGATATCATGGATACAATGTATTAAAACTTGGAATATAAAAAAAAAAAAAAAATCCGTATTCATATCTGCAGATAAAATTCATTATAAGTAAAAAAAATAAAATTGTAAATGGGTATATGCAAGTAATGAGTATGAGTATTTTCAAAACTTGCATATTAACCGGAAAGATATATGTATTACGGTATTTATACTCGTAAATATCTGTTAATATTTAATTATATAATTAAATATTAAATTTACTTAAACTTATAAAAATGAACTTTGACAATTAAATTTGATTTTTAAATTGAAATTTTTTTATTAATAAAATTATATATAATATATTTGAATAATTATACAAGATCGAATATATCTTGGCTATCCAAATGGATCAAATATCTCAATCATTATAAAAAAAATGTAAAAACGAAAATATAGAAACAAAAGATAATTTTTTATAT